TCACAAAGAACCTATTAAACTTATCTACTACATCCTCCAATCTGTTGGAAATGGTGCTGGACCATGAGAGGATTAAAATACACTGAGGTGGGACTTAAAGATCTCACTGCCCATGGAGATGAACTGAGATTTCTGACCCTATAACCCATTTGAAAGTTTTTTTTTTTCTGATTGGTTCCTAACTGTACTGATATTGGCAACGTATGCATGATAGTATGTGCCAGTCTGCTGTGTCACATCATAGCAGATGTGGTCAGAATGCATTGTAAAACCCTTCCCTTTATGTCAAGCATAATATATCAATGTTAAACCCTCAGCTGAGGATTCTCACACCAGAGATGGACACAAACCAACATTCAGACACAACAAATCTAAATTCATCAGCCCATTCATTAATCTCTCTGTGCAATATGAAACCATACAACATCAGTGAACATATCCAACCAAAATGAAAAAGGCAAACATGAAGAGACCAGCACCACCACCACCACAGAGTGCCAGAGCACCTCAGCTGCATTTGTGCTGGGACCAATAATGCACATATGCAGTCTGGCTGCTCTTACACTAGGGGGCACTGTTAAATGAGGCATCCAGTAATGGGTTTCAGTGACACAATGGAGTGTCTCACTCTGACAAGTGGAATGGGGAGGGTCAGATGTGGAGACAGATGCTTAAAATAAGTGGATATTGTGGGGTGCAAAAATGTGATGTAAAAAATGTAAAAACACATTCTAAAATCAAGAATAAAAATACAACTAAATATGTGTTTTATGGAACCATTTCAATTTCTAAATTGCCAGTGGCAGCCTATTTAAACATGGCCAAATGAATGTAACAGAAAATTAAGATCTACTTCATCTACGATGGATCAAGTGCAGTTAAAAATATCAGTAGTCAAACTGTTATCTTACAGAGCATACTCATAATCTTGAATGACTTCTTCCCAATGTCATTAACACATTAGTAGAAACTGTACTCCACAAAGGGCAGCACAGTGGTGCAGTGATTAGTGCCGTCAGGTTCAAGCCCAGGCCATCCCGGGGCCTTTCTGGGTGGAGTCTCAATGTTCTCCCCGTGCCTGCATGGGTTCTCTCTGGGTACTCCAGCTTCCTCCCACAGTCCAAAGGCATGCAGCTTAGGTTGACTGGTGACTCCAGACCCCTTGCAACCCTACTCAGTAATAGGCGGTGTCGATGAAGGATGGATGTGCTCCACAAAACCTTTACTTTCAATATAACCTGATTAGACCTGTTCTGCCAATGAAACTTGCTTCAAAATTACCCTGAATTTTCTGCTAAACCCTGCAAAGTGCATGTTTTAAGGCAAATGAAACATTTCTTTAATGCATGCCCTTTAGTTTGGCAACATACATGCTTGGTTACTTATCATGCAATAATATACAGCCATTAAATATCACGAGTTAGTTCTTTTAACAATTTACATGTATTTACTGAATTACCAACATATGAAGTAACCACAATCTCATCAGATATGTCAGGAATGTACCAGAAATTACAGACAGGTGTTGTTGCCTGGTTGTCGTGTGTTACTTAGCCGCATCAGACTATCGATGCGCCCACTGATCAGACTGTGGCACAGTCCCCAGAAAACAACAACAACGGTTTTTAAAGTCAGTGTTAACACTAAGCACGACTTGGCAGTGGAGTCTTCTTTAACATGTATTAGGCCCAACATTTAACAGCTCAGCAACTATTCATATTATTTAAAAAAATAATAACCAACTGAAGACCATCTGACATATAATCATAATCTGACACAGTTAGGTGCCAACTTTTGCTGCTTGGTTAGTTTTTGATACTCACACATTTCATACCCACCCCATGCATGCTTTCATTTGTATTTAAAATGGGATTGGTTTGTCCTGATAATTAATGCAATCATTGCATTTGTTTCGCAGACTGTTCTATTTAATATACTGCATTTACAAAAATAAAAATAAAAATGGAGGCAGCAGGGCTCTGACAAATGATTGTATTTCTTAAACATTAAACAGCAACCTTTAAAATGTAAACACTCATCTGCTCTACATAGCAGAAAACTGATCCCAGTTAAGACTGGAAGGAGGTCTGTGCACACCAACATTACACCTTCAGTGAGGGGGAATAAAAAGTCAAAGCACATCAGTCTCAGGAAGTGGGGTTAAAACAGTCAACACCACAGGAGGATGGTGAGAATACTAGGACTAGGTCTTGTCATTCAAGAGTCACTGAGCTGTATCCAGATCAGCTAAAGCGCAGGGCACAATGCCAAATGTCAGACACGTGTATCTGCTGTCAACAAACCAGTGAAAGTCACTTAAAAACAAAAACAACCCTACACTTCAAAGCAACTAGCCTTCACTCTGCTGGCAGCTCATCCAGCAGGAACCTCGTCCAACGTTCAGACTGAAGTGTCTAAGTGAAGTCTCAGAGTCGCTCCTCCTCTTGGAGCCTGCTGCCTAGTTTGTCCAGAACAACGCTCAGCTCCATGTTCTTGTTCAGCTTCAGGTAGACATCCTTCCTGATTGGATGGATAGTCAGCCAATCAGCAGCCACTTCTGCCAGCAGACGGATGTGTTTCTCCATTTCACCTGTTCATCAAAGAGGAAGAAAAATTCTTTACTGAACAATAGTGGGACACACAGCAATGGGTTTATCACGACAAAATAATAGATACAGGTAAATAATAAAGAAAACATTGTACAGAGTTTGGTTCTCAGCTCCTCCTCATTCACATCCAGACCTCCTGTTACAGCCTGCTATTCGAACCAACCTGTGCTCAGAGCAGACCTGTAGCTGGCCACCATCCTGTTACAGGCCACTTCCATGATTAAAGCTGGTTTCTTCTCTGCAACAAAAACGTTCCGGAGAATCCTTGCCAGCTCCCCGAGCCTCGACATCATCAGCAGGCGCTCTTCCTGGGCAACGTTTCGGGTCATGGCTGCCTGGAGCTTCTGGGCCTCCTTTGCCCGAATCTGAAACACAAACACATCACCCACAACAAAACAGTATGAGAAATCACAACATGGTTTTCTGGTGGAGCCAGTACCTAGGTATGTAAAGATGTCTGTAATTTCACAATAGAAAAATGTCAGTATGTCACAAGCTAGCCAACTAAGATTAAAACAAATGATCATTCAGCAAGTGCTGGAGCTTTAAATCTTAAACACATTTAAAAAGTAAAACTCATTACTTTTACCATCCAAGTATCAAGCTACTTGCAGTTCCTGGTTGTCTGGTTACATTCAAGTGTGACTTTTCCAACCTCTTTATTTTATTTCACACCGTTTTCACCAACCCGATGTTGGCTCAGGGTTTTCCGTGTACAAATGCACTGGCCCACATAACAATAGAACAGCAACTTCTACCCTTGCTATTTAAGTTTATCTCATGCATCTCCCAAATTTCGGCTGCCAGCTGATGCTGAGATCAGACAGTTTGCTCCCAGTAAAACAAAAATACAAAAGTGTGAAAATTCTTTTCCAGGACCACACAGTGTTTTTCCAGGACATTATCTCAATTTCTATGACTTTTCTTTGACTGGAAAACTGGTTTAAAAAATAAAAAAGATCAGGTTTTCCAGGATGCATGGGAACCTTGACAGTCAGGTTCTCACTGCCCACCAACCATCACTAAGAAACCCCTTAAACGCCCCCCCTCCCCCAGGTCCTGCACCTACCCTGTCCAGCAGGGACTGGGACACTCCTTTCAGGGCAGCTGGGACCTGAGCTGCAGCGGTAGGTGATGGAGCTGTTGTGTAGGGGGCCGCTGGGCTCTGTGGTGGTGGCTCTTTACTTTTTGCAGTTTTGTCTTCTGTCTTCAGAGTCAAGGAAACCAGAGCCTTCTCCATCTGAGCACAGGACAAGAGAACAATTCAACTTCATACAGACACACCAGCGCTGAGTACCACTTCCACTGGCGTGACATACAGCTACCAAGTTTCCACTCTGAAACAGACAGTACCTTGGGTGTCATGAGTGAGCGGGCCTTGTCCAGCACCTCCTGAGCTGTGGCCAGTCTGTCAGCCTGAGGAGGCTGCGGCAGTGAGCTCATCTGTATGGCTGGTACAGTGTCCACATTAAACCGAGGGTGCCAGCGGGTCAGTTTGTCTTCTGGAACAGACATCGGAGGATCCAATGACGAGAGGAACACCTAGAGGCGGAGTTTGAAAAACAGTCAGGACGTGCCTATCAGGTGCCAAAAGGTTTTCCCTGTGTGTCAGCGGAGAAACTGTCTCATGACACTCACTACATGAGACCAAATGGTAGTAGTACTGGATCACCTGCTGACCTTGTGGTGCTGTTTGACAATGGAGACCAGGTTCAAGTGGAAGATCTGCCTTCTTTCCAGCAGATGAGAGGCTGACAGGACAGGTCGCACATTTTTCTGGTCTGAGGAGAAGAGTCACACACACATAATCAAACACAACAGCATTGGACACATTATCAATGGCACTCAAAGGGACCTCCAGTTATACACACAGTTTACATATTTCACATTTATTTGTTGATTAAAGGTGGACTGAGCTAAGCTGTAATAACTATTGAAATAAGCCGGCGTAGAATGACCAGAAGAAACTGTCTAACCAGAGCGAATGCCAGGCTCCACAGTCAGCTGGTAGCTGCCCTTCTTAATGCTGCTACTGAAGGATGGGATGTTCTTTTCCTGTCTGAACATGTAGGCCTGTGGAAACACTGTTTTTATCTGACCCACATGGCTCTCCTCAAACCGCCTGGGGGGTGGGGATAAGAAAAAAGACAAACATTAGCTCCTGCAGTCTGGAAAATCAAAGTCAAAGGTGCAGGAGGCCGTTCTGTGGGATGATGGACGACAAAACGGTGCTACAGACTTGAAGAGACATTCCTATTCCCCATGTGAATAAGGTGGTGATGAGTACAAACCCCACTTCAGCAGTCATAAGCAGTGTAATTCCAGATGTGACCATTTTATCTGTCTCTTGCATGAACACATGGATGTCACTGACACAAGCCAAACCTGAACAAACCCTCACTTAAATCTGACAAGCAAAAGCAGACCCTCCCAGTCGCTCCACCTACTTGTGCATCATGTCCTGAACTCCCTGTTTGACCTTGGCAAAGGTGGCTGTCTCACAGCGGTTGTACAGCATGGCCACCACAGCGTCCATGCTCCTGAACATCTCAGCCAGCACCTTGTACTGGTACGGTAGAGACAGGCCTGGAGGGGTTGCCTGGGCGAGAGTGTGGTACCGCTCGTACGCTGGCTGCTCCACACTGAGGGATGAGGGATGAGAAAGGTAAAGGAAAAAGAAAAAACACAGCCCTGGCTTCTGATTCCTGAAGCAGGAAAGAAAGTAATGTGCCACATACACAGTACAGATTGGTATATTGTTTGAAAGGTTCTGGCTGTGGCTGCGTGTCTATACACATGCTCACCTGCTCTGGGTTTGTATCTCGCTCTGCTTGCTCTCCTCAGCCTCCCTCTCCTCGTTAATCTGCTGAGCTTTAGCTGCCAGCTCTTTGGCTCGTGCAACAGTCAGCTTGATGTCCTTAGCATCAGGGCTGAGGAGGGTGGCGGTGGTGGCTTGGGGAATCGGGGGGTTAGTATCATTATATGCTGGAACAGCTGGACAGGACAAAGAGGGGGATGTGGAGACTGTAGCAGAGGAAGCAGAACTTGTGAACTGCTCTGCATGTTTCTTGATCCGCTGAAGGCGAGACTTGAGGGCTGCAATGTCCTCTTTACACAGAGTCTGGCAGAAAGAGGGGATGGCATGTGGATGAGTTCAGGACTTTAAGGGTAAGTGCAACAATACTCTCAAATAAGCCTGTGTACATAGCCAAACCCTGAATTAATGCACTGTTAGGCACCATGTGTGGATTAAATCAACTGCTGTCCAAAAACTAATAAAGACACTGAGCTTCAATGTTGTACCGGTTGACATGTTCCTTCACTACCATGAACACACGCACACTGCAGTTTAGACTCTGTCTCACATGCCCCGTCCTGCTGCCATAAACACTCATTAGGACACTGAATGTGGATTCATCCATCATTGAACACAACTGCCCCAATAACTGCATTTCCTCCTCCCTTTGCTAAAAACTACCAGCTGTTTTAAGAAAGCATTGGACTTTTTTTTAAACCAAATGAAACCACAGATTTGTAAAGTATCGACTTTTCACAGCCATGTCAGACTGCTGTTGTTACAATTACACCACAGCTGCACCAAGGCCAAAACAGTACGTGCACACTGCATCGTCAGTGACCGGTATAGGGCTGCTCGGAGCCCGCAGCATGTGGCGGCACATCGGTGTTTTCCGCTCAGTCCAAATACACCGTTACCTTGCCGGCCTGTCCTCCAGTGTTCCGGCCGGTGGCTTTACCATGGTCCTCAGCACCGTGGGCTGCCGGCTGCTGGCTCACGTCACCGGCCAGGGGCTGGGCTGCAGCCTGGACACGCACAACACATTGGATTGTTGCTCGAACGCACACAAGTAACGTCATACTCTGACTGTAACTTTATATTTGTGAAACGGTGAAAACTGCGTTTTGTTCCAAAATCGAAGAAAACATAGAAACACGTGTCTGACTGGGGAACAGACCCCCCCCAGGCATATCTACATTACCCGCTGTGCGTCCTGGGAGAGGACAAGTTTCTTCCTGGCCGTCTTCTTTGTTGGTTTCTCCGGAGCGTTCGTTTTCGTGTCTCTGACGGCCTCCACTTGTCGTCTCTTCTTGGCCGTGCTGTGGTTGGCGGTAGCAGACAACACGGGTGCCCCCAGGTCGAACTCTGCGTCCGCCGAGGTCCGCTTCGGCGTCCGGGGACTGGAGGGGAACTCTTTAGCGGTGTTGCTGGTGGCAGACACTCCATCGTCTAGCCCTGCTGCCTCGTCGATAACTCGGACAAACTCCTCATGGACGGAGGACGAACACAGGAAAGCATCTTTGTTTTTACAGGACCTCGACCTTGTTGTGGTATCGCCCAGAGAGCCGCGGCTGCGCTGCTTGGCTGCTTTCACCGGACCGCCGATGCCTTTTTTCCGCTGGGAAAAGAAATCAGTAACTCGAGCCTGAGACATTCCGGTGCTACTGCTGCTAATGACGGACACGAAAAACTGCACAAATCCACTGCAAACCAAAATCGGCGACCACATAAATAGCGCCCATCTACACTAAACCTCCGGATATGCTCACACTTCACAGGAAGAAGAAAGGAATCTTCGCGCGAAATCAACAAAGCCACGCCCCATCCGGTCGCCTCCTGGATGAGGTGTGAGGGTGAACGGAGCATGTAGTCATTGTGTTGTTTGTACTTATTGACATTGTGCTGCATTACAGAAAATAAGAGGACAAATATGTACTGTTGTTTTGATTGTGTATATAATTGTTTGATTCTTAAATATTTCTGAAATATGACAACGACGACCCAGTGCAGTGTAGATAGATAGATAGATAGAAAGAAGAATATATATCCTAATAAAGTAGAAACAAATACAATTAAAGATGAACTAATACGACAACTAAATACTGTAAAAATCAGGTGGGCTTAAAAACTAGCCTACTACAGTAAGGTCCATGGAGGCACAATTAACTGTAGAATATAGTACATACAGTATATGTACAGCGATTTACCAAACCATCCACAGCAGGCTTTAGAGTTATAAATGATAAGAACTAGTGTAATCTAATATGTTGCATTTGGAACAGTCTTGGTAGGAAAAAGAAAGCTGATTCATTCTAGCAATAGAGTAAAAACAGTCATCCATGTCAACTACACTAGCAGCTGAGAATATCCTAGCAGTTAGCTTATCATACAAGTTATGTTAAAACTGATAACAAATGGCCTTTGTTTTGTTAATGTTTAAAATTAAGTTTGAAATTAGTATTGTCCTGTTGTAATAACTAAACCTGTCAAAAAATGTCAGGACAATTAATCATTTTCAACCATCATCACCTGATCTCACAGTTCCTGATTAATGGCTACATTCATCTGCAGTGATAAGCTGTAAACAAGCTATTGTCTTTTTATTATTTACCCTTTTTATATTCATTGGGCCTTTTATCTGGAATGCTGCCTGCTAATCAAATGTAGCTTGCAGTCAAAAGAAAGTAGAGCGGTATTTTACATATTTTCCTTTCAAAATAAGTGACAACTACAAACAAACAAATAAATAAAACTAGATTGTGATACTCTAATAATAAACATACTGCTTTCTCATGTCATTCTAATGAGTACCTTAACTTTTGACTAGGCTACTAATCTTTTAATCCACAGACTATATGAAATCATGGGCCTTGAGGTTTCCTCTTGTTTTACAAGATTAGGGGATGGACACCTTAAATACAACGTATGAGAGTAGCCAAGGAAAAGTAACAGGATAAAAGTCAGTGTCTTCAGTACTCACTGGGCTTCTACTCTATACATAATGCTCATTAATATCAAAGGCTTCATTCATAAAATAAATGATGTGCCAAAATGCAGTATGGCTGCATTCACTTCTGAGCCATGACTGATTTGAATAGAGCAGCCGTTCCTCAACTGGTGACCAGGACCTCTTTAAGGGCTCACTAGATAAGGGCTAAATAGATAAGAAGTTAAAATACATGTCATGCATGTTCAAACCTTTTTTCTCTCCCTATATTTTTCCACCTATACTGTTAATTATATTTATAAATCTCACTGAGTCTCTAAAAACCCTTTAGATAAAGCTGACCTGCCCCATACTGACGCCTTAAGCAGTGACAGGTGAACATACAGCTTTGAGGATCCAACCGTCCCAGACAACGACCACGTGACCACGTGACCACACAACCACCGCGCCGTGTTGCCTTCACTGGCTCCATGTTTCACCGTATTTATTCGCACGCTAGGTGGCGCCACTAACAAACAATGCCATATACTTTAGTGTCAGGTGGGGCAGAAATATTGTGGTGTCAAGAAAGATCTACTATCAGTATTAATTCACATGCCAGTACAGTCAAGCAGAACACTGAAACATGCCAACACAACAGCAGCAATAACGTAGGCTATCTAAGTCTTATCCCGTGCATGTGTTTGGTGAGCACACGCACACGCAGAACTTTTGAAGTAAACAAGTTGTAGAGAAGTGCAGCAGTGACGAGCTGCGCAGTGTGGACGGAGCCGCTGGCAGCGGGGAGGGAACCAGCAGCTCGGAGCGGCTCGTGGAGAATAGCTCCTCTATGAACGCCCTACAGACTGACTTGCATGTGAATCATATTTTCCACCTACAACGCTGCTACTTCAGACAGGGCCCCTCCGAAGGAACACGTGAAACAAAACTTTTCTGCCCGTTTAGCTGAGAGAAGAGCTGTCTTCGGACCCCGCGCCCTGAGCTCCACTTCCCGCAAAAGTTTCAGCCTGAATGGGAGAAGATGAGCGTGTGTCGGAATAATGGCGTATTCACTCATCTGTCACATCAAATTAATCAGCTCCCATGGAGCCGTCTAAGTTAGCGAACCAGTGTGTGTGCCATTGAGCTATGGTAGTTACTGATAAGTTATTGTTGGTTATCGGGGAGTATTGATCTGCACTGACATGGATCTTCAGGTGATTGTCTGGCTCTTCTACTGCTTTCTGCTGCCCAGCGTGCTGCTAACAGGTAACTAACTTGCACTCTTTCTAAATAAAAAGGACTGTAATGAGATGGCACATCTGATTTCCCAGCTAGTGGGATAACTTCCATCTGCGTTTCCTCCGAACCCTGTAACGTGCCGGGGGAACCACCAAGCAGCTGGAGGGAAAACTGCAAACTTCCCATAAACTTTACTGATTTTATATCATTTCTTTGGTGTCGGGTTACAAAAGTGAAACGAGTCGAGACAACGTGACTCCAAATAATAGGCTGCTGAGGATTTCATCATGTCTTCGCTACCAGCACGTGCACACGGGAACCCAATGTAGTGTGTTTAAGTAAAACCGAGTCCTGGGTACAATAGGTGTTTTGAGGTCGCCTCGGGTCGTGGAGTAGTTGGAACGGATGAAGCTGTTGAAAACGGAAATTAGCCTTTGGGTTTGGAATATTAGCCGATTGAAACATGGCTTCAAACTCGAATAACAAGCTTTAAGTTATGTTCTAGAAGTGTGTGCGTTATCTGATGAAGAGGAGTAGTTTAGCCTTCAGCCAGTGCGACTTTAAAGGTGCGGTCATGCTGAAATGTTTGAACGTGGAGGAGCTGGGAACATGTCCGTAAGGTTAATAAGTGAGCCTGTATTACGTTTGAGGTGTCTTCTATAGCTTGTTATGGTTGTCTTCTCAGGAAAACACTTTCTATGGTGCAGGGATTATTTAGCTGCAGTACCACATTGGGCCACTAGGACAAAGTGACAGCAATGTGCCAGAGCTGGTTTCTAGTCCATGCTAATTTTGTGCATGTGGTCAAAAAACAAACAAAAACAGCTCTTATGTAGATGTTTTCAGAATTTAGAACTCTGACTGGACAGCGTGCGTTAGTTCACAACTGAGCCATCTTACACGCACACAGAACAAACTGAATTAGCAGTAATAACACTAGAAAGTCACTTCCGGCTTTTCCCGTTTAGGGGTCGCCACTCGATTCGGGCCTACCAGGGACGGCTGGTAGCGGTAATAATACTAACCCAAGATAAACCAATAACGTGTGACTACTAAACTAACAGTGAAAAGTGACCTTTACCTCCAGCACTATAAAGACAGCCAAAAATTAAGGGGTAGGATGTTAACTGACAATTATTGCTTAACAGCAATGTCTTGCTAGGGTCAAAAGGGCCCGGTGAGAAGTGGTGGAGATGGTGTTGAGCAGTTGTTTTCACTTCTAGCAAAAAAGACTGCATCATTCTTAGCATGGAAGCTGTTTCATTGTGTTTTGGCAGCTTTTAATTTATTGACTCCGGAACAACTGCTGTGTACATTGTGTATATTGTATGAAATCACTTTCATTCTATTGAGAGCTAGACAGCACTCAGAGTGCATACCTCTGCCAAGGGGCAACTCCATTTCCTCATAATGCCATAAAAGCAATATTCCCATGACAGTTTGACCCTCATAATATGAATGCTTGACTATGAGAACCTACTGCTGGCATTTGGAATGATGCTGATTATTTTTATTAGCCTGAAAGTTATTAAAGAAAAACTATAGACACAACAGACATTCCTTCATTGGTTTAGGGGTAAGACGGGGATTTCAGTGAGTGGACTGTGGGCTAAGTGGTGAAGACGTCACATTTCTGCAAGTTTGTGTTCTGCTTGTTCAAGAGCTGTTTGAGAAAGTGCGCATACAGTCTCAGGTACTGACTGACTGTTGCACTATGGAGTGATCCTTCACATCCTGTGCTCTCCCTCTGCCCAGCGTGTCTCCTCTAAACAGAGTGACACAGAAAACTACGATGGAAAAGCAAAGTAGGATGGCCAGTGTCAACGCGTTAGGTTATGCTGGGTGATGGTTAAGGGAAGCACACGGTGTAACACTCGTTGGGGTCCAACAGTGGAAACAGAGCTATCACGTGCAGCTGGAAAACCAGCATCCTCTCCGACAGACTACTGTGCTCGGAATGGGATGTAGCAGCCTGCTAATAGAGTTAGCTTGGTCAGATAACGAGCACTCCAAAAATGCCAAATCAATTTTGTAAATCATTTGGCATTACTTGGATAGACTCACCACATATTCCTAATCTAAGTGGTTACTTTGCCTGAAAAAATGCCAAAACATAAAAAAATGGCATAATACCAGTTCTACAGATTAAAAAGTTAACAGCTCTCAGCCTGTCTCAAAATCTCTGCCATCAGGCTCTGGCCCAGCTGTCACTGCATAAAGTAGATCTCTGTTTCTGGAAGTGAAAAGCTGGAGTTTCCCTCATTTCGCCTTGAACAAATGGAACCTGCTTTCTGGACTACTCCCCAGATTGTAGCATGTCAGCTAGTTTAAGCCGCATGAACAAGCCACACTGTGAGCAGATTAGCTTTACATGGTATGCTGACATGAGCCAATAGTAAATGGCTAAATAAATGTCCCATGCAGACTGACATAACGATGTGTACTTAACAGTTCTTCATAGATGTAGACAATTCACGCTGCACTCATCTTCTCTCCAGTGCTCAGCAGTGAGTGCAGCCGTGCACATTGTTCACAAGGTGGCTCACATACAGTCAACCTTTACAACAGTGAATATTCTTTTAGAAAGATCCTGTGTCCATCCTTTATGACGGATCAGCACCAAAGTCTAGTCAACTGTTTTGGGAACTTGCTTTTTGTCCCAGTAAGGACATCAAATGCCTGCAGTGTGACTGTGAAAACAGTTTAACATCATGGCAACATGAGTAATACCAGCCTCAGCAAAGAGTATAGTTCCCATTAAGAACACAGGAGTTGAAGCTGTTTTGTTTTTGGTGTTATCTCTTATCTCTACACCATGAGATTTTCCAATATAATATACTTGTTATTTTAGCCTACATTGGTTGTGGGTTTTGTTAGGAAGGGCTCCTCCGTATTTTGTGTGTACTGTATGTGTGGGTGACAGAATGGAGACTGTATATGTGTGTGTGTGTGTGTGTGTCTCCTGACAGGATGTAACTAGCTAGACCTTGCAGTGTTTCTGTCAGCAGTTCTCACAAGTTTCTAGTGAGTCAAAGGAAGTGAAAGATGCCAATGAAGCTGCCAAGATGATGCCACACACACATGCACACCGCAAACACAGCAGCGGTGTTTTACTATGGCTGTGAGGACATTGGTTGACCTATTGCATTCTGCAGTTTCTTTACCCTAACCTAAATCATCCCAATTAAATGTCTAACCACAGCCTTTATTCTAGCACTAAACCTGGTTCTGACCTGAGCCCCAAAACCAAGTCTTACTGTAATTTTCAAACTGTCCTGTGAATTTGTGAGGACCTCACAATGTAGCAATTTCCTCAAAACGATGCTTCTGAGACAAAAAAGACGGCTAATAGGTGTTAATAGTTAAGCATTGGCCCCACAGGTCACCGAGCCCCTGAGTTTGGTGGTCCAAATGTAAATGTATGTGAAAATGATGCAGAAGGGGAATTTAACTTAACACAGCCTTCCTTAAAGTGTGACACTTCACTAAATGAAAACACATTCACAGAATGAAAATATGTGACTATTTGTTTAAACCTAAAACTCTCTTGTTGCAGCCCCCCCCCCCCCTAACTTTTCACACCCCACACTTCACATAAGCGACAAGTAACCATACTGTTTGCTGTTTTTGTAGAAGGTTGAACTAAAAGGCCCAAATGAAAAGAGATGCTTGTGAATCATTAATATTGCGTTGGTAAAGTGCAGGGTGTCTGAAACGTGGGGTCTCATTCTCAGTATGGATCTGATAAAGCTTGCAAATATGGTTTTAGACAGAACCTGAGGATGTAGCAGAGCTGACTTCAAGTGAAATTCATTTCACAAAGCAGAGCCTTTTGGATTTTGGGTTCTTGTTTATTTTCATAAAGATGAGGTTAATTTTTGGAGCAGCTGAATACAGAAGATGTATAGCCATCTGTTAAAACTGGAGCTCTGTCTTCGACTGTCATCTTTTTTCCACTGACATTTTAATGACTGTAGTATCTTACACATATAAACAGTTTTATGGGATTTCCTGGACATGTTTCTTGGCAAAAGTAGTTAAAAAGAAAATCCCCTTACAGCATTACTGTCTGGGTTTACAAGCGAGGTGGCACCACACTCGGTGACGTGTTTATGTATTTCTGCAACCTGGATTAGTCTCTAGCGGAGATGCACTGATTGTTTTGATGTTGACATCAATAAAACACATCACATATCAGTCAGTGTTGTTTAAAAATTGTACAACGTTACTTTATAAGGCTTGTAGGACACCCTAGTTAAAATTTACACAAGCTTCAGAAGAATGTTAGTATATGAACGTCTCCGTTAGTTTAGTTGAGAAGTGATGTGTAGCTACAGCCTCAATTGAGCTTGCACATAAAAGAATAATCAGTTCCACACAGTCAGCTTTATAGATTTTAAAGTGAAAAGGAGTAAAAGCCATTGGTACTGGCTGAGCGTAGCCTGAGTTTGTGTGTCACAAACGAGAAAACTGATTCTGAAGCCCTCATCAAAAGCCCAAAAATCAAAAGAAAAACAACAACTGCCCTGTTTGACGGTGTTGTGTGTGAGTGTTGCTCAGTCAGCGAGTCAGTCATTCCGCACCAGAGCAACAAGGCTTCATGGCTCAGTGAGAAATACTGTGTGTGTGTGGGGGGGAGTGAGCCAAAGAGAAGAGGAGGGATGTGTGCAGATGGTTTAGAAGTTCTTTCTCTGTTCAGACAGATTGGAAGACAGGGATCTGATCATCAGTAGCAGGTCAGATTTTTATCTAGACACAGTCCAGAGAATGAACTGCAGCTCTTGTGTCTGGACCTCCTAATGGTATTAAATTCTCAACTTTCACAACTTTCTCTTGGCTTTGCAGTGCTAAGTCAGTTTTTCCTAAGCGCTGGCTTCTTTCTCCTCCCCAGCCTTTGGTGAAGAGATGCTGTTGCATGTTTGGGTCCACGCGCTGAGAGCATGGTGTGTTTGGAGAGTTCAGAGTCAGGACAGAGTCAGCTCCAAGGCACTGACAGGCCCGTCTGTAATTGAGCCATAGCTCATGGA